CATACCACAAAAATTTCAGAAGCCAATTCGAAGTATTTTCGAAGATACAGAGATGAAAGCAAAGGAGCGCCGATAAGGTTTTGCAGGCGCTTGGCAAACTTTTGAAGCGCGTTTTCTCCACTTTAATTTTTTACGATTCTTTCGAATTGGCGGGAAAGATAACAAAAAAACTACTGGACCGATTGAAACGAATAAAGGCTTATTCTCTTCAGAATTAAATTCTCTTCTAGTTGAACTAAAACGGTTGTTGAAAACCGCTTTTTTATATTTTTTACAGCATGTTAAAGTCAATATTTCATTTTTCGGGATAAAATATTGACTTTAACATGCTGTAAAAATATAAAAAGCGGTTTTCAACAACCGTTTTAGTTCAACTAGAAGAGAATTTAATTCTGAAGAGAATAAGCCTTTATTCGTTTCAATCGGTCCAGTAGTTTTTTTGTTATCTTTCCCGCCAATTCGAAAGAATCGTAAAAAATTAAAGTGGAGAAAACGCGCTTCAAAGTTTGCCAAGCGCCTGCAAACCTTATCGGCGCTCCTTTGCTTTCATCTCTGTATCTTCGAAAATACTTCGAATTGGCTTCTGAAATTTTTGTGGTATGTTCTTAGATAGTTTATCTATCGATTTAAGCAATAAAAAAAAATCGATTTTTTTGACCTTGTAATTCAGGAAACCCCCTTAACGCAAAAGAACGGATACGAGTCCCGGGCCCAGTCCAGTCCGTGGGCAGATGCAACAGTTCCCGCATCGCATCGCACCGATTCTGATTCCGAATCCAATCGAATGGAATCGGGGACCCAGGCCAGAAGAACCGATGCGGACCGGACTCGGTCTAGTCGATAATTGGTAACGCGTCACGTGTTAGGCTCTCAAAAGCCAAAAATGGAATTTCTAATTAAGTTTTACAGGGATTTAATATCGACCATCTGCAGTTTCCATTACAGTTACACTACCCTTTAGCCCGCCAGCCGGGGAGCCTGCACCCTGCGCCCTGCAGCCTGCAGCCAGTGTGTACGAAATTTTGGTCAATTAACACATCAACGAGCTTAGAACAGCAGCCCGAGCCCTGTCGGAACACAAACTAGCCAACGCAAAAAAGGGGGAATTTGACTTACTTGTTTGAGCATTTTCCTGCTGCCTCTGCAGTTGAAGTTGCTGCTGTTGCTGCTGTTGCTGCTGTTGCTGCTGTTGCTGCTGCTGCTGCTGCTGCTGTTGATGCGCTTGAGGGATTAGCAAGTGGTCGAGAGGGCCTCGGAGATGGATGGACGGGTCAGGAGCTGGCTCCTCCCACCCTCTCTGATGGGTGGAAAATTGCTTTTAAAAATCTGATCAGCAGCACAGCTTAAAGGAATGTTTTTCGGGCTGCAAATGTTGGAATCATGCCTGTTAAGTACTTGTCAGTTATGGGTGGAATCCCAAATTGCTTTTCCTGGGCTCCCTTTTGCCATTTGGCTGCAGGTTGCCGGCAAAGTTTATGAGTCAGTTCATTTTTGGTAGATCCACACTTCTGAGAGGTTGATCCACTTATTTGGTTAAATGGATTTCGCCAATCAAGCTGGTGCAGCAAACTTTCCGATGCCTGAATGTGCGATATGCGATATGCGATATACGATGCTCTCCTTGGCGTTTCGGGAGCCTTGGATAACGGATAACAAGCAGCCGACAGCAGCCCGTCAATATGCATATAGAGCCGGGATGAGGATGAGGATGAGGATGGGTCCAGACAACCTATAGCTGTGGCAGGCAACCCGTCACTCACTCACCCCCGCATTCATTGGCTCATTCACTCATTCACCCATTCCCGGCCCGTCATTTGCCAGAGCCTCGAAGCAGTAACAATTGATATGCGTGTACGTGATCTGAATGCCGAGCTCCTTCAATTGATTTGATGCCAGCGCTGGGCGGGAGTCGCTTCAGGCGGGCACTGAGGAGGAGCCCAAACTTGTGAGCCGAGAGTCAAGGGAAACTTTCGCAGCGGAGATCACGAGATGCTGACTGGCGTAAGGTGAGCTCATGGAGACTCTGCCACTTGAACAAGTGATGGACTTTGGAGGGGAATTGAATTATTTCCTCTATTTGAATAATGACCGATCGAACTTTGAGTCCGATGTTGCATAGATTCACATATATTATGCTCTGAAGTCGGGGCACTCCTTCCCGCAGGAAACGCCAAATGTGTCAACTGGCCATTTGTCATTTCCGACTCCAAGTGGGCAAACAAACGGCAGACAGCCGGAGCATTGCCAACTTCGATCCATAACTCAGCGCAATGCAAAACGCTGCGCATGCGCTGTTTGTCAGGCGGCTTGTCAACAAATGCGGGGCTTCGATGGGGACGGGGATGGGAAGCAGCCAAGTGGCTATGGCCAAGAATTTACACAAAAATGCAATCAGCTCGACAGATAAATATACAAATTGCCGGCGGGCAACAAGAGTGGAATATTTAGACGAGGAGCAGAGCGGCGGACAACTTGCGGACAACTGGCGCGTTATCATGAATGAATATTTACATTGCGCGTACGAGGACTCAATGAATTTATCAGCCCGATACTCGGATAGTCAGATACTCGGATAGCCAGATACTTGCCGCTGCGGCGTTTGTTTGCTCTTCATATTTAGCTGTCAGCTCAAGTTGTTTGTCCTCGGCCGAATGGACACGGTAAGATTGCATCTGGCCTGGACTGTTTGTTGCCCTCTTGAAGGGTATTCCTGCTTTGATAAGAAGTTGGACCCTATAAACATGCTAAAGGCATTAGCTGTATAGTGATATTTAGTAGGATCTTTTATTTGTAATATTATTTATTATTAATTTATTCATTTGATTTAACTAAGTTCGCATTCCATGGTTTCGCAATATGGAAACCCTTCTAAGTAGAGCTGACCTCATAGGCTTGTGTGTGTTTTGTTTATCCTCCCCGGACTTTTTCTCCCAAAGTTCTTTGCTTTTCTGAAACAATTAGAAACAAGAATTAGAATTCTGACCCAAAAGCATTAAATTAAAAACCCCATTTCAGCAAAGCTTCGCTCCCCAGTGGCCTGTATTTCCATTATTTTTGATTTGAGATTGGATTAGGCCCGGAATCAATTATTTTTGGTGGAACCATTGAAAACTGTGTCACCAAATCAAACATTCGAAAGTAACAACTGCAAACAAAGGTCCAGGGCTAGCAGCCTTCTCAACTGTGTACGTGCGACCAATCAATCAGGCGCGAGCCAGCGATATCATTAGCTGCCCGGCGATACCATCTACAAGTCCCATTCAGTATGTTAACTCCCCAGTCCACCGCAGATTTGGACTCGAGCCTCGTATCGCCGCACAATCAGCCCGAAGCGTCAATAAATCATGACAAGATCGGTGTTCCTACCACGCTCCCCCCCTCTCTCTGCGGGAAAATCTCGACGGGGCTAAGTCTGGGGCCATAATGTTGCATTATGACAAGTTGCGGTGCGCGTTACGCACGGCGAATGTATCTGCATCTGCATCTCACTCGCGTATGTATCTTGATTAATGCGAAAGCAGCTATTTTGAAATTCATCAGCAAGGCCAAGGAATCTAAAACATTTCTATATCTAGATGGGATATACCATGAAGGGGAGAAACGAATTTCTTTAAATAAGACCCCTGATAAGGCTTGAGAGAACTTAAACTTTTGCCTTAATTTAGATACTACCATTTAAGATACTTTTTATTTGGTTTATATATTGTATAACTTATAAACTTTTGTTCTTTAAAATTAAAATTAAATTAAAAAAATTACATTAACGTTGAGCAACAAACTAAGTAATGAATCGTTGAGATTCAACGATATTAAAAATAATAAAGGACTATATTTTATTATACTGCCTTATTGATACTCAAAAAATTGTTTATTATATTTAAAAACTTACAGAAATTTTACAGAAGAAAATAAAATGTTAGTTTAAATACTGCATGTTTATATCTTATTAATTATTTTAAACCTAATCTCAATGTAGTTATTCACTGATGGAATCTAAAATCTAGCAGAGTTGACAACCCTTAAAAGAGAAAAAAAGAGAGTTTGCGGCGAAAGTAAAAACAAATCAACAGTTCGAATTTGCTCTTTGTTGTGTTTCGCTCGTAAACCACCCGTTTCGGCAGTGGAACGGAACGCGGTGGCAAAGAAAACTCTTATACCAAACTAAAAAAAAGAGTGTGTAAGCTCTAAGAGAGCGTTATTAATGTAAAGTGGCGAATGGAGTTTGAAGCGGACAGGTGAGTTTATTGTCACTCTCTTAGAGAACTGCGCGGACTGCAGGACCACATAAGGATTTGCACCAGAGATTTCAGTTCTCCATTTATTTATAATTACTTTTGGCAACTCAACTTGAATTATGCCACAAAAACTTAAAGCTCCCGATTTATAATTATTTTAATATTATTTTTTTTTTATTAAGAAATGCAACCATTGCACCTGAGATGCGGGCCGCACAGAGTCCACAAAAGAGACTTCTTCTCCACAGCACTCAACGAAGGGCTCTCTGCGCCAAGCAACCCCCGACCCGAGAGCTCTTCGGCTCCGCTCTTAGCATCCACTTCCATGCCACAATCCACTTGGGGCAAACAAGCATTTTTTTTGGCCAAAATCAATTTTTTTCTTAACTGTATCAACAAATTTATCAAAACTTAAATTAAACAATGCGAAAGGCAGAAGGAAATATTGACAAACATTGCTAAAACTATGTTGCGAAACACCCAAATAAAAAAAAATATTTTGTTTAAAATTAAGTTTAGCAACATCAAAATATATATGTCCCAAAAGTTGTGCCAGACCATGCGAATTTTTTTAAGCCCAAATATTTTTAAAATGTATCATACCAAATTGAAAGTAAAATAGTACAAAGATATAGCTTCATTTTATTTATTTATGAATACCACAAAAAGTGGTTGTTTGCCCCATAGTGCACCCGAACGGCAGGCTACGGCGGTGGCGGCTCCGTTGCCCATTGCAGCAGTCGGCCGATTCAATCGTTCGTCAGCCTTCGTTCGGCGCGTTACAAGAAGCAGCGATTCAGCCGTTCAGTCGTTCAGTCGCACCCCCGAGTTCAGTCTCATCCCGGCACTCGTGGCAACAACAACGCTCTCGCTTTGCAACGCGTCGCGAGTCTTCATATCTCAGCTCTCAGTCATCAGCTCTCAAGACATTGCCATCGGAAGTCGGTATCGGTATCGGACTGAGAATCGGAATCGGATCGTAAAGGATCAAGTGCGGAATCGAAGATCGAAAGGTGGCCAGGATGCGGCAATTGTGCACCACAATTGGTCGCCATCAAAGCGGGGCAAAGTGTGTGGTGAAGTGTGTCGCGTAAAAGGCTGCCGGAACAGCCGCGCGGCAAGTGGCCTCAGCACAAGATACAGATACAAAATAGAAGATCAATTTTGGCCCAGTGAACAAGTTACAGAAAGTGTTTTCTATCGCGCACCCTTTTCGACCCACTGCGGATTACAATCAGCCTAAAAATCGAATTTAACTACAAACCTAGGTGAGTTGTGCACGGAAAAGGTGTTTGGTTGGTTCCGGGCACTCAGAGATTTGTGAAAGGCTAGCAGAACGGTGAAAAGTTGTGCGAAAAATAAAAACAAACCTCAGTGAAGTTCGATTTGTGGCTGCACTTGATTCTCTGTGAAAAGTGACACAGATAAGCCGACGGCAATTATGTAAATAAACAGGATTAAGCCAAGACACAATTGCATAAATAAATATTCAGTCGCAAAACAAACCAATTAACTCAGCAAAAACAAGTTTTTTGGTCAAATAGCAAAAATCTTGGAAAAAAAGATTTAAAATACAAAAATTCGTTGTTGCTTTTTATGAAACAATTATCACAAGTTTCGGTTCTTTCCGGATGTTTGTTATCCGCATTGCTCGCATTCCAGACGCGTTTAACCCATTTTTCCCAGCCCAAAATGCGGTGGCGGTCCCCTCGAATCATTAATTAAACACAAATTAACAAAGAGTCAAACTGTCAACATCTTGGGCTAATCAAAATAACCTGCTGTATCTTATAGATACAAACAGCAGCACCAACACCGACGCCTCGCCGAGGTCGTAAAAATCTAGACACAAAATTTCCCATTTCTCGTGCGGCGCAGAGCGACTTTATCAGACTCTGAAAGAAAGATCTCTTTCCCCAAGCACGTCATTCTTTGCACAGATTCTTATCTGCCAGATGCAGTTGTGTGCTCCATCTCGCGGCTTTGGAAACTTCACACTTCGCCAGGCAGGCAACGAGGTCGGCCCTGTATTTCATAATTTTCCCTGCTGCTGCTCGGCGGGGTAATTGGTGGAAATATGCCCGGCAATTAAAATTCCCCAGCCTCCTTGCTTTCCCTTTCCTCCTCATTCTTTTGCCTCTCGTAATAAGTTTCACGATTTACCCTTGTTTAGAAACGGAATTGGATATTGAGTCTTCGTTGGCCGCCAAGATGCAGCCGCGCAATCGCGCATGCATAATTAATTTCGTGTAAAAATCATAATTACACCAATTAAAATTTGTGTAAACAAGTTGGCAGCAGGCGGGCGAATCTCCCAAAAGGGGCTTGGGATCGAGCCCCGATCTGCCCGAAGCGCCATTTGGGGCGCAGTCATTATGGTAATATCTCTGAGAAAAGATTTCGTGGTCGATTATGATTTTTTATTATTAGCACAAGTTGGGGTTCGTGATTGTTTGTTTTATTACAACGACGGTAGGGGAGAAGTTCAGTGAAAATGTGTTTGTTAAGCCCTAGCACAAATTGCTTTAGTTAAATGGCTTAATAATAATTTTTATAGCAAAAATCAATAGCAGACAATCTCTTCTTTAAAAAACATTTTAATTTACCTTGATTTATTGCTAAAGCAAAAGCAAATCCTTCAAATTCAATTAAATTCAATTTTGTGTGTCATGTCTATTATTTGCAGCTTATAAATATTAAAAAGTATGCATCTTAATGAAATGCATTTTGCAATTGTGAAATCCCATGTCAAATATTTGAGGCACGTACTCCGAGTGTTTTTGTTTGAATTTAAAATCGTGAAATGATGCCTCAGAGTGTGCCGTTAAAATTGTCTCCTTCGTGCCACAATCAATATTAGTGTCTGCTTTTCATTTAACCTAATTTTTCGGAGGCTGACGAAAACCACAATCAATATAATTTATACCTGTCAGGCACTGGAGTAGCACAGTCCCAGAAAATGTCATTCTCGTTTGCATTTCAGGCGCTTTTCCTGCTTGCCGCTTCCCACATGAGTGCCACCGAAACGGCCCCCGGCTGGCCTCCTACTCCTCCGCGTCTTCTAATTAATTAGCATCTAACCAAGAATAATGTTTCCTGCGGCCCTCGACGGTGGCAGCAGTCGACTGTCATAACTTGGCCGCAAGTTTATTTGTTTGGCTCGCCAGCGAAGGCGGCGCACAAAAGCAGCTCCAGCTACAGGTTCAGATACTTGTGCAGATACAACAGATACAGATACAGATACAGATACAGATACGGACATGGACGCAAAGACGGCGCACAGGTGCCACAATTTCTTCAATTTGTGCAACGCCCCTCCCTGGAGGCATTCCCAACAGAAATATGTAATTCGTTTCTGCCCCCAGTGGCCTTTTTTTTTCGTTTTTGTTTTTTGTTTCTGTTTTTATTGTCTCTCCGCTGGTGTTTTTTAGTTTTTTTTTATTTCGGGCTCTTGTGCCGCCTTATGCTTGTGTGAAATTGTAAAATAACTTCGGCTGCTCCGGTACTTGTGAAAAAAAAAACCAAACGCTCAAGTGTTGCGTCCCTCAAAGTAGCCAAACGTATCCGAATCCGTGGCCTGTGCGAGTTTTCAAGCTGCTTGGCATGTTGTTGAGAATTTTTGGTGTAATGACTTGGCGCCAGCCTTATAGCTGCTGCTGTTGTTGACTGTTTTATTGTATGTGTCGGCCACATTCGAGGCTTAAAGGCAACTTGTGGTCCTACGATGGGGCCACTAATTAGTTACAAACAACAAAAAAGTTGTTTGTGTTAAAGTATCTCAAATATTTCCAGCTGTCAGGAGCCAGAAAAGTGGACAGAAGTGGGAGAGAAGGTCGATAAAAACAACTGTAGAAGCTGGGTTAGCGTAAGGCCAAGGGAAATGGGAAAATGTAACTTCCTTGACTCCTTTTTTCGCTTCGATCCATCAACATTCTTCGATGGGTTCTCACACCCTCTTATCGGCGGAGACAAACCCTTTTTTTTTCTTCATTTGGACCTCACAAACATTGTGATTTCCTGCCTGGCTTCCTTTTGAATGCGACCCTTATCTCGACCTCCTCCGTTTTTCATACGTATTGTATGTAAATAGCTCAAGAGTGCCCCTAGATGCGACTATTATGGCGACGATTTCGTCGAGCTAATTAACTCTCGGTTACAGTTCACTGCGCGAAATTGCGATCGACGAGGAGCATATGAAATGTGTGTGTGTGTGTGTGCGAGTTCTGAAGACAAAGTTGCCCCTCGGATGCGCAGCGGCGGAAATGAATCGCCGCTCATCAACTTGACGATGGCTTCCCGCATGCTCCTCGCCCTTTGTCTGATCATTTCGATCACTCGCTGCATTTTGAGTGAGTGAATACTCAACCGGAGGCATTCGAGCAAGTCGCCGCCGTTTGCTCAGACCGAAATTAGCCATCGTCGGACGTGGACTCGGCGTCATTCAAATATTTTACGCATCACAAAGCAATGAAGCGTCATTAGCCCCGATCCCGATCCCAGGGCCAGCCCCAGTTCCCGTTCCATTATCTGGCCAAACCCAACCCAGCCCACGAATCCATCAAAATGCGGGAAGTCTCTGTTTGGGCGAAGATGCGACACAAATAATTTGGTTTGGTAATTAAGTTCTAAGTTGCCAAATGCAGGAATATCGTCGGGCTCGGGCTCATGTGCAACGGAGCCCGGCTCGGCTCATTAATCAGGGCTTGCTGACAAAGTTGTGTCATACATGCAATACAATTCTTCACAGTCAACACATGCCGATAGCAAATGCCAAGCTTGTTCCCGCTTAGTCGGCCAATTTAGGGCTGCCAAAGAGCTGGCCAAGCCCATGGCTAGCGAGAGCTGAGCCCTCCCCAGGGAAATCGTCAAGGGCCACACGCCAGGTGTCAGAAATGCTGCTAGCCAAACTTGTCATTCAGGGCACCCTCTAGCATCAAGGGTTTTATCAAATGGACACCATGTTGGCGTAATTAGAGCATCAAATGGGTTCTTTTCAGAGGGTTAAGTGCCGAATGTTGTTGCTCGGCCCGGTTGGGAGTGAGCAGCAGCTGGGAGATGAAAGGGTTAAGCGGGAACTCCGGTTCCACAGAATGTAATTGAGCTAAAAAACGACGGCGATGGTTTATCAAAGGGAAGATTTCCTGGCCCTGGCTATGAACGAATAAATACATGAAGAAATTAACCCCCTTTTTAGAAACTGAAAAACTGGTTTAAAGAACATGCATAGTCACTTTTTGTAAGAGCTCAAGTATGCACTATTCCAACTCTGTAAATATATAAATAAATATTTCTCTTGCTATGCTGTGTCGCATGCCCTCACCGAGTTACGCTCTATGCGAATCCAACCACAAGCCCCAAGTAGCAGTCACTTATCCGGCTTGGCAACCCATTCGGTTAATGTCCATTACCTTGTTTAAGATATGTTTAGGCCAAGGCTAATAAAGGCTTCCTGCAACGGGGGCAAACAGCAGCCCGAAAGCTCTGTCGGTCGGCTTTACGACCACAAAACCCGCAAGCGAACCCCAAACGATTGTTTTTCAACTCGCCGCCTGTTCCGGGTGCCGTTAAAGAACCGCTGTCCCGGCCTGGCCAAATCGAGCGGCTGTGACACAATTGCTGGAAGTACTCGTACATGTCTGATTTCAAAACGAACCTCACCCGCGCCCCACAGAAAAAAATATTGAGCCACGTGCAGCGGACCCAGTGACAGTCAGGCACTCGGGGCAGGGCAAGGTAAACAGAGTTCAACACTATGATTAACTATAATTTGAGTTATGGCAATCATTTGTTAAATGCACCGGCTTGTCATAACGAGCGGACAACTGATGAACTGGGCTCCTCGTCCTCATCTGCGGGCTCACCTGGCGGGGGCGGCTCTGTTGTTTCTTTCACTTACAGGGCGCATCGTAAAAATTAATCAAGCGTTGCTAAATTGTCTGGATGGCGGCAGCAACAGCCGAAAAGCAATGCCAGCAGACGGGAATGACCAAACCGGCCCGCCGAGTCGCATCTGCATTTGCACATTGAACCCGAAAATACGAAAAACCGAGAGCCCAGACCGCGCTGGGTCCGATTATAATACGGAAAATCGATAGGGCTTGAGCGAGAGCTCAAGTCCTCAGCCCACATGTCCTGGCCACGCTCCGTTGATCGGCCTAACGACTGTCTGCTCGCTGGTTGCTGGCTGCATCTGTGTGCCGGCATCCAACCCCCTCCGGAGGGCTGCCCCCAACCACCGCTACCCCTTTGTGTGCGCCCTCCTGTCAAT